TCCAGGTCCGGGTGCCGGGGGGAGGCGGGCCCGTGGAATCCCTCCGCTGTCCCGCAGAGCACAAGCTGCTGAGCGCCGGCCCCACCGAGCCCTGGTCCATCCGCGAGAAGCTCTGCCTGGCCTCGTCCGTCATGCGCAGCGGCGACCAGAACTGGTAAGGGAGCGGGGAGCGGCGGGGGGGGGGGGGGTAACCGGCCCGGAGCCGCGCCGGGATAGAGCACGGGGCTGTGCGCTGGACTGGGGCACGGTGCAGCAGCAGGGCATTGACACTGCTGTTTGCTGTTCAGAACAAAGGTGGGGGATTAAAGATGGAAGTGTTATAGGTATGTCATATTCTATAGGTATATATAGGATTATTCTTCTGTAGTTACTGTGTAGAAACAGAAGCATGTTAATCAGAACAGAGTGACATCTTCATGAATTGGAAGGGCTGGGTTGTGGTCAAGAAGAGTATTTGATAACGGATTGCTGTGCACTGCATCTGAATGTGTAGCTGTTCTGCTGCCTTGTTCCCCTCATTGAAGTTAAGTTTTTGTGGAGATGAATTGGTGTCATTAGAAGCTAGAAACTTGCTTTTCAAAGCAAAGGAAGGAAGCTGTTGTTTATTAAGGCAGATCTTTCTGAGTCCAAGGGCTGTACTTGAGTAACAATTCTGTCTTTGCAAGTTCATTGTGTTTATGGCAGCTATTCAGTGATGAACGTTGAGACAGGTCAGTGTCTCTTCTCTGTATGTTGGTTGGGGAAGAAAGTAAGTTGACGGTGACTCCCATTTCTCTCCTGTAGGGTCTCAGTCAGCAGAGCGATCAAACCTTTTGCAGAGCCAGGACGCCCACCTGACTGGTTTTCCCAGAAGGTAATATACTGGCATTTGAGTCTTGGAAAACGTAAGTTCTGCATAGGATATGTAAGACAGCTGCCTAAGAGAATGTGTTTCTTTTAAAAAAAAAAGATTGCAAAAGTAGTTTTAAAAATCAGGTTCGTGTAAATCAAATACATTTTTTTTCTGTTTCTGAAATTAAATTTGAGGCTATGGTGCAGTTGGATAAGGTTAAGAAAAATATGAGGATGATCAAACGCATGAAACAGCTCGCTTGTAAGGGATGGCTAAGCAAGGTAGAACTCTTCAGCATAAAAAAGAGATGGGTACTAGGAGATACATCAAGTGTCTGTATAGTCAGAAGTGGCATGAAGTTGAGGATTAATAAGGATTAATTGTTCAGTGCTTTGTCCAGTACAAGATTTAGAGGCTATTAATTAGGACTAACAGGAGGGATTGCTCTTCATCAGGCATGTAATTAGGCTGTGGAATTCCTTGCCCTAGGAATTTGTGGATGCCTATGTCTTTTGGTGTATCCTGCTGTGTGGGCAAGCACCTGGGATTTTTGTTGTATAAGGGACAGAAAGAGATGAAGATAATCAAGGGAGAAGTTGGGGGTTTATGTTGCTCACTGTTTCTGTTAATGAAAATGGCCCTGATGCAATGTTGTTTTGTCTTTGCCATTGAAATATTTTGGTTCATGTTCAGAGACAGAAACATTACAGCTACAGTTTTCCTTGTCATCCTTGTTTGCATTGATTTCTAAATTCATAGTTGGGAACGTTTGTTCTTAGCTTTGTTTTGAAGATCAGCCTGTGCAGTGCTAGAGTAAAAGAGTGACTATGCTTCCTCACTTTGAGCTACACTAAATTATAGCCATGGGGGAAACTCTGGAGAAGACTGTCAGATATGTTCTTAAAGTGTTAGACCTCTGAAGAAGTAGGAGTAAGTGCCCTGTAGACTTCGTTGATAGGTGTTTGCTGATGCTGACTATTCAGCGTCCTCTCACTTTCTTTGTTTCTTCTTAGCACTGTGCCTCTCAGTATTCAGAGCTCTTGGAGACTACGGAGACCCCTAAGTGAGTACAAAGTCTGAAGCAAGTGCAGTCTGCAGAAATTGTGGGTGAACTTGTCAGTTCTTAGAGCAAAGGACTTGATAGTGCTTATACCAAACAGCATAGAGGAATGAGGAAATTCAGCTGTGATAGCTGATGTGGGTGGACAGTGGGATCAGGGTATGGCAGATGGGGGAGACTGACAAGCCCAAGGTATTTCTTAGAACATGCTTCCCATACCTCTTTATCTTGTCTGGTTTTTTTTTGTTGTTGTTTTCACAGAACCGAAGTATTTCAGTAATATATGGTTCTAGAACTGGTCACTGTGCGCTTGTCAGTGACTCCGTGGGCCCCTGCTGTCATTACAATACATGGTAGGGTAACTGGGGCCTCTTTGCCACAGCTCCATTTGTAAGAGTTGCAGTGTGCATTTGGGGACTTAATGCAGCAAAAAGAAACATAGATCTGGCTGGAATAAAACACTACATATCAGTCTTACTGAGCATAAACTTTACACATAAAATTATAATTCAGAATAGGGGTAGAAAGACAGCAAAAGGGAGATGGGGGAGCCTTTTATATTTGTCTGTATTTTGCAGTGGTTTCTTGTAGTTTTCTTATCAATGCTATCACTGCAGCTCTGTGGTCTCAGATATTTCTCACTCCTAAATCCAGGAGTTTTGTTTTGGGACTTCACATCGAATTAAATTACAGGCAGGATCTTTAAAAATATTATTTGTGATAGTGCTGAGTGATCTTCAGCACTAGAGTTGCAAAGACAAAGGACTTAGTAGAGTTATTAAGGAAAAATAGAGATGTTTCTTTGTAGGTAGTAAGAATCTTCTCTGAAGTTGAATGATTGTTTTTTTTCAGGTTGAGAATTTGCAGTGGGCTTGCATCTTTTATCTGTTCCTGAAGTCTTTGACACTGCACGCATTTAAGAATTGAACTTTTCAGAAGAGATTGTCTGAACTTTCAGCTGTCCAATATCATTTAAAAGAAATTGCAAGAAGTTGTTGATTTTTTTTTTTTTGGTGCATGTTTGTGTCAAGAATGACAGACAGCAGCCATTTATGAAAGGAAAACTGAGGTTTTCTGTGTTTCATGTCTGAACTGTTTTTTTTTTTCTCATATTCTGTAGGAGAAAACGTGGTGAGAAGGGAGAAGTTGTGGAAACCGTGGAGGATGTTATTGTGCGGAAACTGACTGCAGAACGAGTTGAGGAGTTGAAGAAAATGATTAAAGAAACACAGGAGAAATACAGGTGTGTGGCAGAGGCATTAAGCTGTGGTGCACCTGAGAGTCCTGTCTTGAAAAAGTGGCCTGAAGGGGATGGTGCTTGGGGTGAAAATGCTGCTTAGGGCATATTGTTCAGTAAATAAGAAGATTTTCTGATTACAGGCAACTCAAGAAGGATGCAGAGCTGATCCAGGCCGGACACATGGATAACAGACTGGAGGAGCTGTGCAATGAGATTATGATGTGGGTTCTTTGATTATTTCCATGTTATGCCTTCCTCTGAGACTGTAGTTGCCTAACATTGTGTGTTTGACAGACACCTCTTGCTCCGCATACATTAGGTTAAGAGAAACAGGGCAGCTGGGCAGATGCTTTGGCCTCTGAGGGTGGGCTTAAGTTAGATTGGGGGGCACCAGCTCATGTGGAACATCTTCTGGAGTTGCTCAGTGAAGAGCTGAGTGACAGCTTGCAACGCCATGCTTGTCTCCACTGTTTTGGTAGTCAGCTGGAAGTGAAATTTCTTGCCAAGTGTGTCATTCTGTGACTGGCCTCTGACTCTGCTTCCCTCCTCAGAGGATTTGAGTCTGAAGAGACAGTTCATTGTTGTCTGGAGATAATGGGATGGGGGTCAGTAAGCTGCAGGAGGACCTGAGGGGAAATGGGACACTGTGTGACAGTAGGTTTTGGTTCTGTATACAGAAAGAAAAAACTGGAAGAGGAGGAAGCGGAAGTCAAGAGGAAGGCTACAGATGCTGCTTATCAGGGTAAGCTGGCAATGAACTTTCTTACTCCTCAGAGAGAGATACGTATGTTCATAAGAACATTTGGGAAGTATTTAAGTCCTGTTAAGACCTGTTCAGGAGGAATTCCTTGATGCTAGGAGTTTGACAGAAAGACTATTTTCTTTCCAGCACTGTATTTGTAACAGGGCCAAATGCAGAGACTTCTGAGAAGAGAACAAATTCTGTGGAAAAGGTATATCTGAGAGGAAGCAGGATTAGTAAGGAGCTCTCTGTTAGAATGTCAGGCTTTTCAACCCTTGAGCTTTCCCTATAGTTTTACTATTGTCTGAAGATGAAAAGAGATTTGTTCTGAATGTTTAATTTGTTTATAATTCTTGGGGCAATTCAGTGAACTAACCTACCCGTGGTAGGAGGTAGTGAATACCCAGCTGCTACAGAAATCTGAAATTAAAGTGCGTTACCCAATGCTAGTATGATTTGTGAACTGAACCTAGTGTGGTGCAAGAAATTCCTACAGTATAAATTGGTTTTCTTATAGTTCTTTATCCTAAAGTCAGAGATAACTCTCAGGGACTGTCCAAGATGGAGCCATGGAATCTCACTTTTTTTTCCTGTTCTCTTCCAGCTCGTCAAGCCATTAAGAATCCACCACGACGATTAACAGGTGTGATGGTTCGCTCCCCTGCAGGCTCAACCTCCCCAGGGGGAGAATATGCTCTGGGAGATCTGTCTCAGCCTGCTGTGGACGAGGCCAGTCCAGGGGTAAGGATGCTTCCCAGGGTCAGAGGGAAGAACCAGCTTGGGCCATGGGGCTCTGTGTTCATCACGGAACAGGAGCCTGGGCAGGAGCCCTTGCCTTGTTTTGCAGACTTTTCACTGTGGTCGTGCTGTAGTGTGGTTGATGTACAGTGCTGCTCAAGATACGTGACCTCTTCTGTGTCCGTGATGATCAGATGCTTGGATCGAAGACTGTGTAGGGGCATCAGTGGGTTTGCCAAGCAGTCTGTGTGTGTGCCCGGGCAGTGGCACTGCGGGGCAGGGAGAGGGTTGAAGGCATGTGCCTGGCGTAGGTGTAGCGAGTGAGTGCAGTAGGTGTCTTTGGTGTGCTGGATCAGTGCTCTTGGGGGAAGGACCAAGTGGGGCTAGTCTCTGTGGTGGAGTATGGCTCTGAACAGTGTGGTTTTTCTCTTTCTCAGGTCACTCCTGGAACATTGCCCAGCACCCCGGTTGCCTCCTTTATTGGAATCCCTGACACCCCTCCAGGTTCTGCTCCCCTGGATGCCCCCATGACCCCAGTCACTGATGAGTCACCCCAGAAAAAGATGCTAGGACAAAAAGCAACTCCGCCTCCTTCCCCTCTGCTCTCAGAGCTGCTGAAGAAGGGCAGTCTCCTGCCCACAAGCCCCAGGCTGGTATGGAGCTCTCTGCTCATTTATGCAAGCACACAAACAATTTGCTCCAGACTCTCCCACTGAAAAAGGGCGAGCTGCAAAGGCTTTTTTAAAAACATACAGTTTTTGTGAGAGTCCCAACATAAGTGATATCTGAGGGATGTAATTGCCCCTGTGAGCCACAGAGGTGGGACCCTTTCCTGGCAGGACTGCAGGAATCATTCAGCACATAGGACTGGCTGTCTCAGCTCAGTAACATAAGGAGTTGGAACTGCGGGTTTTGCTAAAGGAAATTGTTCTCCCTGGGGGAGGGGGCATGTTGGTCAGCATCATCCCAGTCAGTCTCCATGAAGGTGTTCTTGGTGATTTCTACTTTGGGCTTACAATTATTCTTTACATTTTGGCAGGAGGCTGAGTTTCATTATTTGTAATGGGTCTTAGCATAGGAGTAGGGAGTCCTTTAATGGGGTTTATGACCAGTATTGAAGTGCTTTAGCCTTCTTGTAGTTGTAGACAGTTATTAAAATCACTGTGATGGCAAGCCACTTCGACCCTTCTGGTGTTAGTGACTCTGGAGTCTTGGGAGGGTGACCATTGCTGACACTGGTCAGAGCCCAGTCTGAAAATAGCAGCCAGCAGCCTGCCAGTCGCATGGATTCACTGCGTTAGTGCTTGTGTGATGGAATAGGTGTACTGCTGTTGACTTTCTTTTTTTAATAGTCAGATTTGGGGTCTTTTCTATTTGTTAGCTTGGGTAAACATTCCATGGGTTCTGTGATTGCAGGGTGCAGTGTAACATAGAGTGGAGCAAGGAAAGATAATGGCTGTGGAAGATGGGGTTTTCTTTGTATCAGGACTGTTTTACATTTGCTTCAAGGTCTGTCATAAGTTTACTGTGTGAGCTTGATAGAGTTACTTTTCATCTTGGTGCTTCAGTTTCCCTCAACTCAAAATAAGAGATGATTCCATGCCATCTCAGGGATTAGAGAGACTGGTATCTGTAAAGGATTGTGAGGTCCTTGAACAGAGGAACTAAGGTAGAGCAAATGATGTATTTGGCCTGACTTAAAAGGAAGGTGGCACTGCAGCTGTATTGTACCTGAAGAACAACTAGTTTCAGACTGGAATGTTGTGCACTTGTGTAAGGGGTCTCAGGTAGGAACTACACAGGACAAATAGCGCAGAAGAAATACTGAGAGAACAAATGATGCACGTGCTCATGGAGGTGCATATCTGGCAGAGAATCACTGATGGGGTGGTATGTCCAGGAACTTCAGTTGTGTCCTCCTTTTGGCAGGTCGGTGAAAACGAAGTGACAGTGGCTTCTGGTCACATCAACAGTTCGGGAGTGCTGCTGGAGGTAGGAAGCGTCCTTCCAGTGCTGCACAGTGGGGAAATGCAGTCGGCACCTGGTGCTGTCCCTGCATCTCCTGCTGCTTCAGGTAACTCAGGACTCTCCCTGCACAGTTCTCCCTTCAGATGTACCTTCAGTCTGTTCTATGAATTCTCTTTCAAGAGAGATGAAGGACATCTAGCCTGGCTGGTTTTGGGACTTTTTTACGAGTTGTATTTCTGTTCCTGTAGCCATGTCCCTCTCACCCCTACTTTTTTTAGGATGAGACTAATCCTTACAGAAAAAAGAGTGCCTTGATCTAAAATGACTGCAACAATTAGACTTGACTCGATCCTGGTCCATGCAGGCTAGTTTTCTGGTTTTGACCCTAGCTAATACTATGCATTTCAGTGTAGAAAGAAACAGATGACAGGGAGTTGGGGAAAAATTGGTCTAGTATCTCATTTCCAGAGTGTCAAGCTGCAGCTCCCTGTGAAGCTGGAGAACTTATGTGTCTTAGCTCTGCTTTAGTTTAGAGGTCTGTTGAGTATTAGACTGCAGTGGACCATGAGCTCCAAAGTTCTGTAGAGAGGGGTGAGAGGGACAGTGCAAGGGTCTTTGCATTGGGCCTTGTCAGAAGTTTATTCTCACCTCATGCTAACCAGTGGTTTTAGTCACATTGCAGCAGGGGATTTATGCCATTCATTCATATATAATTCTACATGAATAATCTCACTTTCCTTATCTGTGTCTGTTCTTTAACACCTGGTAATTTGGTCCAGACAGTTCAGTAAATTCATACTGGAAGTAATAGCTAAGATGAATGGCAACCTTTGATATAAGAGGAATTCTCCAGGAAAGACCTGCAAAGAGATCTCCTCTGCTCCCTTCCAGCTCCTGTGATGACTGTTTGTCTTGTCTTAACCTTGTGTGGCTCTCTCAGCACTGTTTTTTCAGATTTCCCATAACTGTATTGAGATGAGCCTGCGGAAGGGCATCTCTCTGCATGTGTGGCTTAGCCTGTCCAGCCCTTACATTGAACACAGTGTCCCATAGTCTGCATGATTCTCTCTCAGACTGCACACACAAAGGAGTCGTGTATGTCTGGTGCAGGTTTTCTATATAGCTTTTCGGACCATTTGTAGGTACCTCTCAGTGTCTTTTCCCAGAAGAAGCCACCAGACAGTGAAGAGCCCAGTGGTGGCTTTGTGGACTTCAGTGGTGGCTGCTTCTTGCTCATGTGCTTTTCCCTTCTACTCTCTGTTAGGTGCTCCTACGCTTTCTCGGCTTTTAGAAGCTGGTCCTGCACAGTTCACCTCACCTCTTGCTTCCTTCTCCGCTGTTGCCAGCGAACCTCCAGCTAAGCTCCTGCCACCCCCCGTAGAGCCTGTGTCCCAGGCAACCATTGTCATGATGCCCACGCTGTCAGCACCAGCCGTTGTGCCACCAGCTGCAGCTCCAGAAAGCGTAGCCACAGGTGCGTTCCTGAACTACGCACTCGTAGGTCGTACACTGCTGGAAAGCAGAACTTTCCTTGGGATCAGCACCCAGCGAGTTCTCAGACGGCGTTTTATCAGCTCAGACTCGCTGTTCTTGCTGAAAGGACAGTTACGGCTGGGTTTTGGGGTAAACAAATGGTTTTAAACAGGATTTGCTGGGTGGGGGTGGGAGTGCTAATGACATGTTGCTGGATTGTGGTTCAAGGGCTGGAGTCTCACTTTGTCTCTACTGTGGGAAAGCACACCTGTATTTGTCTTTTATTTTTCTAAGCCATGCTGTTGTGGGTGGACCTGGGATACTTGCAGTTGGTGCTTGGTCTTACCCACTGCAGTATTTGTTTATGTGGGCTTGACTTCTCCAGATGGGTCTCTGATTGTCGCTCTCATCCTTGTGCAGTGAGCCAGCCAGAAGCCTGTGTTTCTTTGGAGGCAGTGTCTGATGCCCATACCGTGACTGTGTCCATGGACAGCAGTGAAATATCCATGATCATTGATTCCATCAAGAAAGAGTGCCTGGGTTCTGGGGCTGGCAGCACTGCAGAGTCTTCCAAAGATCACTGCATGGATGGGAAGGAAGACCTGGATTTGGCTGAGAAAATGGATATTGCAGTGTCCTATACAGGGGAAGAGCTGGACTTCGATACTGTTGGAAATATTATAGCCATCATTGAGGACAAGGTAAACGGGCAAAGCAGAGTGCCGGTGCCTTTTGCTCCACATCCAGTTAGCTTAATCTCAAGTGATTACTGTTCACCAATTTAGTTAGTTTAAACAAGCAAGAAATAACTATTCCAAAAATGCACATTCTCACCATCGTTATCCAGATCAATAGGAGATGACCCTATGACACCACTGCTGCTAGTCTGCCACATTTAGCCTGGTGCTCCTCTTCAGAGTGCAGAAAGAAATCTCTTTCTTCCTCATGTTGGGTAGGTTTGGGTCATGTCTCTGGCAGACGAATGAGCGCTGCTTGCAGCATACTTTCCAGGAGTGCTGTATTTCTGAAACTGAAGCTCCACGGGAGACTCCACAGGGAGTGATACGAGTCTGGCTGCGAAAGGCAACTTTGTAAACCCAGTATATCGGGTTTTCCACAATTGTCTCATTACCAAATAACATGAACTTTTTTTTAATCCCTCTTTCTGATCTTGGCCTGCACTGCTGTGTGTTTGTTTTGGCAATAAAGGTGGACGATCATCCTGAAGTCCTGGATGCAGCAGTTGTTGAAGCTGCTCTGTCTTCTTTCTGCGAAGATAACGATGACCCTCAGACCCTGCCTGGCCCGTGGGAACACTCAATTCGTCAGGAGCATGAGAAACAGGCCCAGATACCCCAAGTGTCTGTGACTGTGAAGCAAGAGAGACTGGAGTGTGAGGAGCCAGAGGCAAAGGGAATTCGAGACCTAATGGGCATTGGCGAGCTGGGATCAGAAATAAAGACAGAACCTGCAGAGCAGGAGCAGAATCAGCTGGGCCCTGAGGAAACCATACCAGCAACTGCAAGAGTGACAGAAGAGATAGAAGAGGATCAAAGAGCAGCTATAACAGCAGGAGAGACTTCTGAAATTGAGATAGAGTCGTCCAAGGGAGAAGACACAGTGCACAACACAGTGAAGACAGAGGTATGTGAGCAGAGAGGCTGTCTGGAACAGGTGTGGGGAAAGAAAGGAGCAGTTGTGGCAGGTAGGAGAGAAGTTTAGAGGAAGGATGACTGCTGGGTTGAAGGTGCCCCTTCAATGAATGTGACTGACTGTTTTCTTGGGAGTCATGCTGCTGATCTGTTCGATCTGCAGAGAAGCTCTCTGCTTTAAGCAGTACCTTTATGTACCTCCCCCCACCCATACGCAGAATTGCTGTTGGGAAGGTGCTCAGTGAACTTCATTGCCTTGAGTTAGGTTAGGGTGAGATGTGCCCACACCTTCACTGAAGTAAGCTGACACAAACATCTAGACTTGTGCATTTCTCTTCCCTCCAGACCCCACCTGATGATGATTCATCCCCTCCACAAGTCCCAAATGTGAGTGAAGACTCCTCACAGGCTGATGTTCAGCACAAATTTGAGCTGTCAGGTAACTTGATTCAGCTAGGAAATCTTTTACATGCAACATTATTAGCTGGATAGTTGTCAGTGATCTGGTTCAGATTTTTGGGGAGGAGGGAGAAGATATGTGTAGGAACAGTGGTAATTACTGCAGGACAGTAGGCATTGGTGCAGGAGCTTTTGTAGGAAAGACTGCTTTGGGGAATCAACCTTTCTGCTTATTTTTCTTTCACAGAGTCAATGAAGGAGGAAGCCCAAGCCCTGTTTAGGAGTCAGATGAAGGTAATTCTGGATTGGTTGTAGTCATCCTGGGTTTATTAGTAACTTCTCACTGCTGCTGCTTCCTGGCTCCTATCTGCTGAAAAGCAAAGCTTGCGTTCCGCTTTCTGCACTGAGAAGTGGGCAGTCTGCAGCTGGAGCTAAAGGGGAGATTGCTTTGGGCGCTATACAGCTGCATGTACGTGTGTTTCTGTGTCTGCAGGCAGAGGCAGGGCAGGATAGAGTGACTAGGATTTTGCAGAAATTGTCAGCAGCTGTAGCAAGAAGATCGGTTTGCTTGCTGAGCCATAGTTGCTTTGGAGGCTCTGAGGTGCTGCTGTAGCTGGCTGTGCAGACTCATGAACTCCCTGTGTTTCAGGATGGGCAGGGTGAAGAGGATGATGAGGATGGTGCCAGTGAGGCTGCCAGTTTGGAGGAACCCAAAGAAGAAGATCAGGGTGAGGGATATCTATCAGAGATGGATAACGAACCCCCTGTGAGTGAGAGCGATGATGGCTTCAGTGTCCACAATGCACCTTTACAGTCTCACGCACTAGCTGACTCCATCCCCAGCAGCCCAGCCTCCTCGCAGTTGTGAGTATCAGTGAAGCTCTCAGACACACCGATGCAAATCCCAGGCTATTTTATGGAGGGAGCGTAGGATTCTCATTTCTGTTTTGCTGACTGAGTGGGTCCAAAGGGGGAATTTGTTGATTTGTCTGGTTCTCCTTGCTTACGAGTGCAAGTGTGCAGACAGCACCATAGTACCAGGTCCCATTTTTTATTTTCTGTCTTTGGCCTGGATTAGCGTAGGTATGTCAAAGGCAAAATATACCAGAAAGTTTCAGCTATGAGGCAGTACACAGGCTCCAGAAGGAAATCCTATTGTTTTCTTTCCAGCTCAGTGTGCAGTGAGGACCAGGAAGCAATACAGGCCCAGAAGATCTGGAAGAAAGCCATCATGCTAGTTTGGAGAGCAGCAGCTAATCACAGGTGAGTTTGATGTCTTGAGAACTGGCAGAAAGAATCCTAGACAAGTCTCTGCTCTCCCACCTTGGGAGGCTCATCTGCCTTGGTACTGGGAGATGATGAATCATATTGTTACTGGTAGAAGACAAATAAACATGAGATTATGAAACAAATATTTACCAGCTAGGACGGGGCACTGAGTGGACTCCTTTTCTCTGCAGGTACGCCAATGTCTTCCTGCAGCCTGTAACTGACGATATAGCGCCAGGCTACCACAGTATTGTGCAGAGGTGAGTCTCATCAGTCTTCTGTCATTAGAACTCTGTATATTTGCATATTTGTGTAGGGATTTCTGGCAGAAACTGTAGTTTTGGCTGCCATGCGGACTGCAAGACTTGGAAAATTATTTTTTTCTGGCATGATTCAGTCAGAAACAGGTTTCCCTAAGAAAAAGGGTCGTCTTCGGTAACAGATATGTGTCTTTACGCAGCCCTGTCTTTGAAATACACTGACTTCGTACAGAATGTATTTTATCAGTAAGGCAGTATGTGACTGATCTGCTTCTCCCATTTTCTATCCAAGGGTAGGATTTAATATTTGAAATTCCAAAGACCTGTCTTCTTTAATCCGCATTTTTTACTGTCCCAGATAGTGGACTCTTCTGGAAGTATTACCAGAATCCCCTGTTAACCCCCAAAATATCTCCTGAACGGTTCAGTGGCTGCAGCTCTAGATTCCTTAGTGTCTCCTGAAGGTGATGCCTGGAGAAGGCAAATGCCGCTCCGGAGGCATCTGTCCCACCGTTGTTACCATTCATGGTAACTGCTAGACAGCTTGTGTCTGCTGACCCAAGGCCTGGGTACTCAGGAACACAGCCTGGTGGGGGAGAACCTATTTGGCTAAGTTAAATAGATGGTCTAACTAGACATGTTACAGACACAAGGCTGTTCTAGAGTTAAATATTTCTGTTGCTATTTTGTCTGCATTTCTAGGCCAATGGATTTATCTACCATTAAAAAGAACATTGAGAATGGGCTGATACGAACCACAGCTGAGTTTCAGCGTGATATTATGCTGATGTTTCAAAATGCAGTTATGTACAACAGCTCTGACCACGACGTGTACCACATGGCCGTGGAGATGCAGCGAGATGTCCTGGAGCAGATCCAGGTAAAGTACTGAGCTGAGGCCAGTGCAGGACAGAGTATCTGCCTTGGTCCATAGGTGTCGGAAAGACTTCTGGACGCAAGACCACAGTTTCACTCACAGTGTCTTTGAATGAAGTAGTGCCGTCTTTCCCTGCATCTCTCTTGTGCTAGCTCAGGAGTTTGTGATGAACTAGATTGTGGATAAGTTAAAACTAACACAGCAAAATGTTTTTTAGGTTCAGCCCAGACCAATTTCAAATCTAATTTCCTTCAGGGAAATGCTTAGGCCAGCAAGAACCAGGGCGTGGTACTGAAACAGGCAACAGGAGTGGTGAATGACAGGGGATGTGATGGCTTCTTTTGGTGGCTGTGCTGGTTTGTGCTGGTATAAAGTGTGTATAAAACTGTGTCCTGTGAATATATGCCATTTAAAATTTCTTGTGAAGTAGAATGTCCCAAATGGCAGGGCTAACAGAGTTTGAATGGGGGATTTGTAGTTCTCAGGATTTGTGGCTTCTGAGGTAAATGGGGGAACTTATTCTGAGCAGCAGACAAGGAACTGAAACTGCCTCTGACCCAATCACTCCCAGCCTGTGGTTTGTGATAGTTAACTGACACACACTGAGCTTGTTTTGCCTGAGAATCTTAAGAGTGTGGTTTTCTTGCAGCAATTTCTGGCCACGCAACTGATCATGCAAACATCAGAGTCAGGGATCAGTGCAAAGAGCCTGCGTGGGCGAGACTCCACTCGAAAGCAAGATGCCTCGGAGAAGGTGAGAACGCTGCACCCTGTGGAAGGGCACTTGGTATGTTTTGAAGAATCTGAATATACTTCATGAAGGTCACATACCAAAGATAGGCAGGATGTTTTTTGAGACTGCAATGGCTCCAGCATCGTCATGTGAACAAAGTTTTGTTTAAATGTGTCCTTTGATTAGATTTCAGCTCTGGAGCTGTACATCATCCCAGAGGCAGGTCTCATGAGTTTTTTCTGTAATCCCAATAGTTCTATTTTGTGTTCTTAAAAACAGGTGATAAAACTGTAGGGAAGTTAACAGAGTATAGGAAGAGGTGTGATATGGCAGGAAGATGAAGGTGTAGAGAATTGGAAGACTAGCCTCTGCTGTGTTCTTCACTTCTGAGTCAGATTTTTAGAACCAGGGAATCATTCCAGTCTGGTTTGCTGTGTAAAACACACCAGAGAACTGGTTTCCACACTGATCTGAACTAATAGCAATGTAGGCTTGTTTGGTTTTTTTCTTCTGTAAAGACACATCCAAACATGATTAAGTGATCACAAGTGTGCTCAGTTGGTGCCCACAACCCTGAGACAGCAAGAACTGCCTGCTTAGTTCTAGTGGCAACTGCACAGGGCAGAAATTGTGTGGTAGACCAGGCCTTGCCTTGGCTGAGGAGGGAATATCCCTTTCCTAGCATTCTGACTCTCGCAGTATCCCTCTTTTGTCCGTTTTTATGTTCCTGCTGCATAAGACTGATGCCATGCGGGAAGGGGAGCAGGGCACGTGTTTCGCTATGCTCATGTGTGGGCTCAGTGCTTCTGTGCGGTGTGTGCATTTCCGTATCTGATATCTGATAAGTCCTTCTGTTTGGCCTTTTAACAGGACAGTGTCCCAATGGGCTCTCCTGCCTTCCTTCTCTCTCTCTTTGTAAGTATTGAAAGGCTCCAGCAGGTACTACGGTACTGCTGGCACTGTGCTCTGCTCCTTGTCTGGGTGATCCCTGCACTGTCACAGCATCCTTAGCACTGCAGCGGTGTGTGTTTAACTTAGGGGCTGTACAACCATGATTATTAGAGGAGAATCATCTCAGTCCCTTATTCTCAGCGTGGGCGAGTGGGAGGGGCTTCAGTCTTCTGGTTCCAAGTGTTCTCATTTTGTCATCTGCCTTTGCTTTTTTCCACAACTTCTCTCCTGCTTTCTTTCCATATAAGTAGGAAGACAGACCAAGTGGTGCAGTACTCTAGTTGTTACACCTCATGTTTATACAGCTGCCCCTTCCACGTGTTCAAGTCAGTACAAAGAGTCTTGAGAAAGTGAGGAGTCAGCTGTGTACTCCTTTATCATTCATGGTCCAGAAAGAACATAAGATACTCCGCAGAAATACCTTGCTCTGTGCCTGTGGTGATCTGGAAGTGTTTGGAAAAACATTCTCTCATGAAAACCCCAAGTCTCTGAGTTGCGGGGAGGAGAGAAGGGAGGAAGATGGAGAGTTGTTTTTTTCTCTCACATATATCTAAAGACAGAGAAGTACTCCGGGACAGTCAGCATGTCAGCCAGAGGGAGAGGGCAGCGGATCAAAGGAAGCTCTCAGCTCGCCTTCTGCTCATGGAAAGGAGCTGTGCGGAGAAGCTAGGGAGCTAGTGCCAGGGTCACTCAGCTGGAGGAGCACTTCCCGTAGGGATCAGCAGCTGATAAGGTAGGTTAGTCAGCAGTTCCCTCTTCCCATCTTAAGAGCCAAGCTAGAATCTGCCGCTTAGGAGAAAGCCTGCGCTGTACAGGCTCCAAAAGCACCTGCTTGGGCAAGAGCCTTGTTGCCTCTTTCTGCCCTGGCTGCCGGCAGCACACAGATGCTGCAAATTGCACCACCTGTGCTGTGTCCAGAGTGAATTCTAGGTAGGTCTGCAGGCAGGCCTCCCCAGGCCTTCGTAGGACAGATACCCTTTTTCCTGTTCAGAAGGCATAAAAAGTTATTACCAGATGCAATTCCTTTCCTCCGCGAGTGCTGGAGGAAGTGTGTTGTGTTTCGGGGTTGCATAACTCTCTCTCTTTGTTTGCCTTGTGATTAGGACGGAGGCACCAGAGGGCGTCGCTGTGCCATCGAGGCAGACATGAAGATGAAGAAATGATGCTGCAGGCAGACAGCAAATCCCAGCGCCTGGCATCCAGAGCTGGGGTGCAAGCAAGATGTAGTTAACAGCTGTTGGAGGAGGAAGAAAAGCTGCAGGTCCATTTCTGGGACCTGCTCCACCTTCTTCGCTTGCCCCTCTGGAAAGCAGTGTCTCGTCAGAATGTGTAACCCAAAGAAACTTCCCCAGAGGGGAAGACTAGCCCCCCTGCCTGTTTTAGGGCAGTCGTCTTGGGCTTCATCAGTGTTCTGGTGTTAGCTAGCAACTGGTGGCTCGTATGTACTGTAATGTGAAGTGTACAGATTTTTACTAGTGATGTGTAAATGTGTATGTATATTAAAGTCTGGGAACAAATCTCGTGTACAGTGTGCAGTGTACTGAGCATCGCAGCTCTCTGCAGTGAGGAACACTTGTACAAAGATGCATACCTGTCTTGAATATATACAAGTACAACTCTCTTCCAGTTATCGTATAACACACAAGCACAGCAGAGCTTTGACATCAGAGAAAATCCATTAATCATAGGAATGTTGTATAATGCTTGCATAGAGGGGAAGATTCCCTGCTTGAGTGTGTGTGAGGGTATGGCACTGTTGTGATGAAGCGAGATCTAACCATGAGAAGTTAAATATGACAGTCTTGTTGGAATGTTCCTTAAGAGACCCAGGTATTGAAATGTACCTTTGTTTCCCCAGAGATTTGAAAAGGATCCATTAGTGAAAATCTGTCATTCCAGCAGCTGTAGGCATGCTCGTACCTGGTTTCACACTGGAGCTTGTGAACCGTTTCTCTCCTTGAAAATACAGTATACATGGATGTTTAACTGAGTTTTAAGTTCCTTCTGACAATTTTCAAGTTGCTATCTTACTTTCTTCTCATTATGACCTGTGAGATGAAACTTACACATTTTCTGCACCCATGACCTTCGAGGGGAAAAAAAAACATTCTTCTTCCTGATGCTTGCAGCTGCTAGGAAGAGTCTACGCTTCCTTGTGCAGCATGTACAGGGCACAGGTTTCTGACACAGAAGTTGCAGGAAACTGAGTCATTGCAATTAAGACCAGAGGGATTGTTACCTTACCTTGATTTTCACAAGTTTTGTGCTGAAATGGGTTGTGCCTGCTGTGTTGAGTCCTGTGTTTGCAGTGTATTTCCACCAAGAATCACTTGACACATGATGCTGGAAATACAGAATCCTTTGGTTTCTTCACTGGTTAATTTTCCTTCACTACTGAAATTTGGAACAAATTGTGAATTTTTATGGCCTCAGTTTCCGGAGATGACAGGTTGTTAAGTTCATAGCACAAAAGATTAAAGGTTTCTTTTGGTTTCTGGTATTTCATGGAGTAATTAAAGCTGGAAGGGACCTCTGAGCATGTGTCCAGTCCAACCTACTGCTCAAAGCAGGGCCAGCTTCAGAGGTAGATGGGGTTGCTCAGAGCCTTGTCTAGTCGAGTTTTTTAAATCTTCAAGGATGGAGATTCGGTAACTGCTCTGGACAGCTTGCTTCAGTGCTTACCTGCTGTCATGGTGTAAAAGATTTACCTTATATCCAGTCTGAATTTCTGTCAGTGCAGCTTGTTGTCACTGCCTCCTCTCCTTACGCTGTTGGCCACTGAGAAGAGACTGTCTGCTCTGTAACACCTCTGCCCTGTCTGTGTCTGTGTTGAACAGCAGATGTTGCAGCGTGTGGGAGGATTTTTTTCATGCGCACTAGTAACTCGCTTGCATTATGGAAAGCACTGCTGTTTGTTCCTACCCTTGGTTTCTTCTCTTAACCAGGTACTTTTCCCTCAAAGAGCCTTTTCTCTTGTCCCATGATATTTTAATACCTTTTAATGATATTCAAGATCTTTAAAAACCTAAGATATATTTCTCCTCTACTGAGCCCCGTTGCCTCTTTCCCAGTTCATCACCTTGTGCTCTGACTACTGATTCTGTTCTTCCTAATACTTTGTTCTTATCTGTCTAGTGCAGAGCTCAGGCTTCCTGTGCTGCATGTCCCAACACCACTCTTGTACAGACATACAACAATCGCATCTTTCTGGCTTTCTTGTGCTGTGGCTAATTCAAATGACAGGTTACATAGCATAGGTTTGGTCATGTTGTATTTAAGCTTCTTTAGGACTCATGAGTGAATCCCAAGTGGTTCTAAGGTTTACTCCATCCCTCAAATTGTTCTAAAACCTCTCATTGACATTTTAATTAGAAACATTTTCTCAGACCCATCCCAAGAGAAAGTCTCTTGTGATCTCCTCTGTGGCAAGTGCTGATAATGATGATTAATTTGGTTTTTCCAAGTGGCCCTATTTTCCACTGAGATGTTTGGCACTGATCATGCATCATCCCCACTGATCATCTGGCAGCTCTCTGCTTCTGATGTTTTTGATGAGGTTTGTTGTTGTTACTTGCTTTTATGTCTTTAGCAAATTGTTCTTCGGCTTTTTTCCTTTTTTTTTGTTTTGTGGATTCTACATTTCATTTACTAGAGATCAGGCTTTTATCATTTTTCTTGTTTTGACATGTAAGTACCTTTTAAAGTCTTTTTTTTATTTTTAACAGCTTTTTCTCATCTCAGCGAGGGTTACGCAGTGTCTGATCTCTGCAAAGTGAACTAAAACTTTCCGATTTCATAATGATTCCTTGCTGGTGACTTACGTAGTCAACGTAATTAAGAACTGTCAGGCAGTTCTTAATTAAAAGTTGAAGTCTGTATCTTTTTGTCCCTTACTTTTTGTACAGAATTGGTATGGAACTAAGCAGTCTGTAATTATATCACTCATCCTGCTTGTCTTGTACTAATGCTGCTGTTCGCTCTGGTGTCTTGAGTCTTCCAAGATGTAGTAACACTGAACATAAGGCCAAAGATCTTTTTAATCGAAGCTTATGCCCAAGTTCCCTGGGCTTCCTGATTCTAAAATGCTTATCCCTCTCAACTGGAGTACAGAAAGATGATCCCCAGTGATTGGATTACCCAAGGCTAAGGCTTTTCTGTTCTTCAGCTGAGCTGCAGTGGCTGGTTCTGCATGTGCGGCCGCCAGCTCAGCTGATGGTGCAGGAAAGCGCTTTAGGCGTGGGGTTACTCTGCAGATGAAATCACAGTTTGCCCAACTCCTTCCAGCTGGAAGCTAAGAGCAGGTAATGTTATCTCATACTTCATCAGTTCCACTGAAGTTAACTTTGAAAGAGGTTTCAGAAGGACAGCTTTTTGGATCCTAGCTGTGCTTGTTAAGTTCATAAAATAAGCAAACAATCTTTCTCATCCCAAACCCAATGGGCTCCTCATTTCTCCCAGGTATGCACCGTAAGCTTTATCAGTAGCTGTGCTTACAGTCCTGAGAATGCAAAAGGAAATCAGTGAGAAATGTGCATGTTCAAAAATCTGGAAAAATTAGGTTGTACATAATTAACTGAAAATTCTAAAGACACTCTAATTAATGTGTAGAATTCTCCATAGGTACAACATCCAAGCAGCTGAGTTCAGTGGCAAGATAGAGATGTTTCCAACAGCCTTTACTGTTGGTACTGTGACTCTGCAAGCAATTCCCCAGACTTAGAGAAATCATAGTGGACTCGTGCAGTAGAAGACACTTAGGCATGGACTAATGAACAGAGATTAAATGAAGAGTTTCTTCCTTCTTAAGAGAATGCTAACTTTTATTTTCTGAAATGTGTAGAACTGTCTGTCCCCTGTCAGTGTGTGACTGTGCATGACTGCAATTCTTCTGGCTCAGGTACACAAGGTACCACCATCCAGCTAAATCACATCTGTTGCTTTCAAAACAAAGTGTCTGTAGGGTTTGTAATAAGTTATTTCCAATATAAAAAGTTCTCAAGTGTCAGCAAAGGGAATTTCAGTGAGTTGTCCTTGGAGTATGTAGTTGTTGACATCTGTCAGTAGCTCGGGAGCCCAGGCACAACTCGGTTTGAGGTTGCTGCTGGATGCGTTCGGCACCTTAAGCATGCGGCATCCCCCGAGCACAGTAACCCACTGACTCATGGGCAGGGGGAGAGCACAGCCAAAACACCAGAAAACCTGAGATCCAGTTGCTCTGAGATGGCAGTTTGTGTTGCAGCACTACAGCCCTGCCTCATGCTGTGAAACATGGGCTCAGGTGAAGGCTGCTCACCTCACAGAGCCCTTCCCATGCTTTGGCTCTCTGGGTGCGTCAGGAAATGAGCTGGGCTTTGCAGTTCTGGATCAGCATACAAAGACATTGCTCTCTCTCTCTCTCTCTCTCTTTATTTTTGCAGATGGGTCATGACTGGGTGTGCTGGGAGTCTGAGACAGAGTCTCCCAGCGAGTCAGAGAACAACAGTGACCTCCAGTCTCTTCTCAGCTGGGATTCAAGCTTGGATCTGGACGTGGGGAGCTGGAGGAATACTGAAGAGGTGGCCATGGGGAAGCTGGAGGAAAGCAGCCAAGAGGCAGACCACGAGCTGGAGTGCAGTGAGCCTCTCTGGGAGGATGATAGCAAGGACTACCAAAAGACAGAGAGGCCATGTGAAGATGAAAGTCTTCTTCAGTTCTTCTCAGAGGTGGGCTGTTTGGGTGACAGGAAGGTGGGTGGCGTAGTTCAGGCCCTCCTGAAACACTAGGGTTTTCAGGGCATCCACCATCCCTACATACAGAAACAGTCCCAGGGAGGAGTAGATGCCCTGGCTTCACTTGCTCCCTGTCCCAAGCCTAGCCTTTCCTCCCATTTAAAGTTGGCACCGCAACCAGGCAGCTGCTTTGTCAAAACACAGCTCACCCTAAAAAGCACAGAGATGTCAGTGAACTGACACTGTAATAATAACACAGGGCTTCATCAGATTTTGCAAGGATTCCTAAAAATGGAAAGGCGTTCGTGAGTGAAAGCAAAAATAGCATCTGTGCTGCTTATTTCTTCTTCCTTCTGCCTTCACAATTTGAAGCAATAAATCTCTGTGTTGCAGGTAACCCAAATGATGGAACCTCTCCACATTGGCAGCACAAAGTCATCACCGAGTCGGTGGGATTACTGTGGCTCTGGGAAGCAGGATGAAGGGGAAGATGTGAGGTGCCAGGAAAATACCGTAGGGACAGCAGTCTCGGGAGCAGAGGAAAGTCAAATACATGTCCTGGCAGAAGATGAGAAAGAACATTTCCCAGGAAGAGAGGTAGGGGAGAGTTGGTCCTAAGAGAGCCTGTGGTCCTGGATGAGAGACAGAAGGAAAACGGCTCTAGAAGAGAAGGGGAAGTCCCAGGTTCCCAGTGGGAAGATGGAGAAACAGAGGAGGAGACAGCAGGGAGGGGAATGCAAAAGAAATGTATGAGGAGGATGGTTTTTATGTATGGATATGGATCCTTATGAACAGGAAGCTTG